TATAAAATATCTTGTAAACTATTGGTTTATTATAAAATATTATAAAATATCTCGTAAACTACTATTGGTTTATTATTATAAAATATTATAAAATATCTCATAAAATATATATCTCATAAACTATTGGTTTTTTAATATCTGTACCTTAATACTTTTATTATATGTAGAATAATTAGAGGAATCATATTTTCTGAAAAAAAAATTATACATATCCATTTGAAAAAATGGAAGTGATTTTCATATCTTTTTAGCGACTCCATCTAATAATGCGAAATCGTAACAATTTTTCATAAAAATATTAATTTATATTTAATTTAGTATTTTTATTATTTTTTTTAGTATTATTTTAGTTTCTTTTACCAAATGTTAAAATTAGTTATGGAAATTATTATTTTTATGTATGGAAGAACAATAAAACACCACATTAATTATTACATATTGATGCAAAAAATTTAATTTCAAGAAATTAAAAGATTATTACTAAATAATTACTGTCATTTATCATTTAAATAATGATGTTTATAGGCTTCAGAAAAACTCTATTAAAACATTATATATTTTGTAAAAGTAGCCATATATTCATTAGGATTTGATTAGATCTGCTCATGTCTGATGGGACACGAGTAGATAAAGATTAATCTCGTCATATCGTATTCAATCTGCTAGGATCGGATCAGATCTACTCATATCTGATTTGATCCGAGTAAAAATGGATCATTCTCGCCATATCTGATTCTGTCCGTTAGAATCGAATTAGATATCATCATATCTAATTGAATCTGATTTGATCAGGCCCATATTTTGATCAAACCAGATCTGAGTCGTTCAGATCTGATAAGATATATAAACGGATCTGTTCCATTTTTTCCCGAGATGAAATTGGAATGTCGCGAAGACCGATGCATCTTTTTACAACAGTTGTATGGCAAGCCGTTTTACTCTTTAATAGCATAAAAGAAATTTAGTTTAATGTTACATTCTTAAAAAATAATTGTCTTAACAAAATTACGATTTTTAATAATAAATTAAAATTATGTCATAACATAATAATATTTCCATGAATTAAAATTATTTCAAGGCATAATAGAAATTCCGAATTTTTATTACATCGGGACATGATAATAATTGCGAATTTCTATTATGTCCCGACATAATTTTAATTCGTGAAATTATTATAATGTTACGACATAATTTTAATTCATTATTAAAAATCGTTATTTTTTTAAGACTATTTTTTAAGGATTAAATTGAATTGATTTTATTTTTTTTTGAGATAGTTTTTCAAGAATTTAAGGGTACATTCTCATTAGTAAGGCCGAAAAATAGGCTATTTTCATGATTTTTTTTTGAGGAAAGTGAAAAATATAGACACTCAAAATTTTTCAGGTATATTTATGGTACTTTTAAGTTGCTTGTAAAAAAATTTTAAGTCATTTTATGAAAATCCCGAGGTAGGGCATGGTGCGCCGTGGACCACTGCGAAAAAAAAGGACCTCGCTGGCGACCGTCCTACAGGTCGTAAGAATCATCTGAAACAAAAAATCGATAAAGATTCTTGTTTAGTATGAGTGTGGTTATGTCGTGAACCTCAGAAAATGAAATCTATCCAAAAATAACAAAATGGCGACGTTTTTAAAATTTTTTTTTTTTTTAATGAAATTTTTCGTTAGTTTTTTGTTTAAAAAAAAATCAATTTGCAATGTATCGGCATAATTTTGGTTCACGCGATAGACAGTTTAATTACGCGTATTTAAAAAAAAAAACATTAAGATTTGTTGAAAATTGACTGAGTTATCACGGTCGCCAGCTCGAAAAACGTTGTTTTCCAGAAAACGCGTTTAAAGTTTTAAGGATACTTACCGTGCACTGCAACGCGAAAAACGCGGGAGACACAAAAACGCACATGTGTTTCTTGTACGTTATAAAACTGATTTCACCAGTGTAATTCCCAATATTACGGTGTAAAGAGGCTCCATCTAAAGCCAAAAATATAAAACCTTGAGTGAAATGGTCGGCGCTACCTGTGCCGCGCGACGCTCGCTACCTGCTTTGACGCGGTCGGCTCGGAGGCTCATAACTTTTGAACCGTTACGAATTTCGATTTGCCCTTTTTAACATGATATTCTAGACAGTTATAGCTATCGAATTCCGCAAAAAAAAATTTTGACCAAAATTTGACCCAACTGATGAGAATGTACTCTTAACTAGTGCTCGGAAACATCAGACGATTTGACAGTTCGAACAGTTCGAATCTCAAGTTCGAACGTTAAATAGTTCGGACTGAATGTATGTTCGAATTATTTTAACCCACTTCAGAGCTGAAAGGTCGAATTTATTACATTTCGAACTCAGACATCGCAAGTCGTAATTAACCTGAATATGTCCTGGATGGCTTAGGATATTTGTAGGACGATATCAATAAATACAGGAATTTTATATAAATTTAATATGCACATTCAATTACATTCAGTTATATATATTGTGACGTTATTACACATATGTAATAA